ATGAGGTGCTTCGTCTTTTCATCACTGTCTTTAGTGTCCATTGGTCTTTTAAGCGAGATCAAAGTTAATGGAGACACTTTGGGGGAAGAAATGACTGTGGATGAATCTTGGATTTGCCAATACGTGCTAGAGATCAAGGTCCAATCAAAACACTGAGAAGTCAGCTCAGCTGATGGCGACTGTTTTGCAATGTCAAAGGGACGGCCCTGGTAGGTATTCTTGAAGAAACAGGACCATCGCGGGGGCGTGTTATGAAGACGCTGTGAGAAAACAGAAAGCGGTGTCGGTAAGAAAACGGCCAGCGAAGTTGTGAGGAGGATTTCCCACCATGATAGTGTCCCTGCTCATTCGTCAAGGGCACCAAGAGTTACACTGCGAGAAGTCTTACCCCACTGACACTGTCACCCTGACCTTGCCCTTGAGAATTCTTTTGGTTTCCCAAACTAAAAACCATTTAAAAGGAACACATTTTAGTCCCTTGAGGATACGAAAACAGTCATTTTGACTTGGTTTAAATGAAGAGTGTAGAATTATTTGGTAGGAGAGTTAGAGAGATAGAAACACACCTTTATACGTGTATAGAACTAGATCGAGGATTTGTCAGTCAGATGGTGCCAGGCTATCAGAATTCCTCTGGGGTCGTAAGCCTTGTTTTAAAACAGGTAGCCACCCAAATGAAGTGTCAGCACAGAAGCACACCAGCCTATGATTCAAGAATTGTAAACAGTGAAATAGAAAACTGCAAAGGGGACAGTATTGGAGCTTAAATTCTGAGCGTCCGGTTTGCAGAAGCCTATGGGTGACAGTGAAAACCCAAAATCCGTTTTCAGGGTCCCCATATGGAGGAAGCCGCATGTGAACCGCATGCTATCAGACAGAGTGCGTGTGAGCCGCATGTGAACCGCATGTGAACCGCATGCTATCAGACAGAGTGTGTTGGACAGTGGATTATTGCAGATATAGTGAGGTTAAAAGTGAACATCCTATCATTTGATCTTCCTTTTGATCCATTGAGGTTTTGTTATATAGTTCTTAATATTTTCTGCTTTCTTTTCAATTGAGGGCTCTTTTCTGTTCTGGTTTCTCTAGGTGGGGCGTGGGGGTGGGGGTGCATGTTTTTCTTGATGTGAAATCCAGGATAGGTAAATCTATAGAGATAGCATCTGGGTGAATGGATTCTTTAGGTATGGCAAGAGAGGTTGGAGGGAAGTGGGGAGCTAATGCTCATGAATACAAGAAAGAAGAATATGTTCTAAACTTGATCGTGGTGATGATTAAAAACAGCTCTTTTTAATGTGATAAGACTTCTGGATTTTATGTTATATAAATAAATTATGTGTCACTAAAACTTAAAAGAACAGTAGTTTCACATTTTGCTACTTTTGTTTAATAAAAGTGTCTGTAATTTTGTAGCTATACTTTTACTTACCCTCATATGCTCCCCAAATTTAGCACTGGATTATGGTAGCATACATACTTCCCATTGGCCTCTGTATTAGTCTGGGTACTTTAGAGAAACAAATCCACAGAAACTCATGTGTAAGAGAGAGTTTTATATAAAGGTTAAGTGCATATCAAAAAATATCCCAACCCAGTGCTGCCCAAGCCCACAAGTCCAACATTAACCCATAAC